AGATACTGTGAATAATGTAAGACAATAATAATAATAATAATAATAATAATAATAATAATAATAATATAATAGTAATACAGTATTATTATAGTAATATTCACCAACCAACTTACACTATATACATTCTTATATATTATTTTTATTCCTCGTATTAATATTATCAACGCTTCCCTCTTGAAAGTAAGCTCCAGTTCCACCTCTGGTCTTAGAGCTACCTTCTTAAACTACCTTCTACCTTCTTGTGCTCTTAAACATTTTCTCAGTAACCTCGATTGTAATTTTGGACAATCTCTAGCGATAAGAACCACTGAAACTGCTTGCGATAGATTGATTAGTGATTCCGAGCGCGTCAACGGCTAAGGTCATTGATCCCGTAAGTGTAATTTGTTTTCATCGTGGGAGGTGGCGGTAATGTTTCCCGCTGGATGCGGCGCCGACTTAAGCTTCTGACTGGTCTCCCGACATACCTAGTGCATTAGAGTGTAGGTGTGTGTGTTAGTAAGGGGTGAGGATATGACAAGGAAGAGGAAGAAAAGATCGCGCACGGTCCGTAACCCCTTTGTTAGGACTCTGCTTCGGCATTCGCTTGGTTTTCCTCGGAGAAATCACGGCCAGGGCAGCCGATCGCACAAATTCTTCTCGAGACAACAGCTGAATTTGACCTAGCTATGTAGCTTGTGCCGAAAAGACTGCCTTCGTCGGGACTCGAATCCTAGGGCCTCCCGGTCAGGGGCATGCAGTGACATAAATGATGCCTTCTGCCACCTATGTCGGTCAAACCTTCATCTTTTAGTCGTGAAGTATTTAAAAATAAATTTAATCATTTTAAAGTGTATCTTTTAATTTTGCTTCTCCATTTTATTCCTTTTCCATATTTATTTTTTAATTATTTCTTTCTTCCTTGCACGATAGGTGTTTTTAGTTTTGACTTTTATCATTTTTATTGTACTTTTTTAAGGATTTTCTTCTAATGAGACCTTTTTATTGATGATCGTTATTGTTAGTATGAAATAACATTAATTTTTTTCGATTGGACATTTAAAGAATGGTAAACATTAATTGAGTTTGTGTAAATTACAGTTGCAATATGACAACGGAAAAGGAGTATTAACCATTAAAGAAGCTTTCCCTAAAGATGCTGGTGTGTACAAAGTTGTTGCGAAGAACATAGCAGGAGAAGCTTCTTCCTCTTGCAATGTGTCTGTGAAGGGGCGCTTACCAACAGAGACATCTGATTCTGAAATTGCAAGTGATTTCGAACCAATCAAACCATCAATACAATTATCTTTGAAAGATGTTTGTGTCTTAGAAGGAGAAAAAGTGTGTTTAGATTGCATTATTATTGGGCAACCAGAACCGGAGGTAAGAATAAATATTCCCATTTTCTAAAGTTTGGTGTATATCGAATACAACATTATTAAATGTCTATGGGAAACTAACATTATTTCATATCTTGATTTTTTTTTTGCATAAAGAAATTTTCTTGATATTGTATTGTTCGTATTTCAGGTTATTTGGTATCGTAATAATCAACCGGTAAAGGAGTCCTCTGATTTTCAACTTCTCTTTCAAGGAGATAGATGCACTCTTGTTATTCATGAGGCATATTTAGAAGATGCCGGAGAATATAAAGTTGTAGCAATAAATTCTGGTGGAGAAGCATCTAGTAAATGTGATTTAACTGTGAAATGTAAATATTTTTTTAAAGGGATAGGTGTATTGAATTTTAGAAAACATTTTGTGGCTGTCCCTTTATTTTTTTATTTTTCTCAGCAGCACTGGGTGATGCTGAACTTGTAGCAAATCCTCAAGTTGTTAAAGAAACTGAGGTACCTCAAGGAACACCGCCCAAATTCAACAGGTTGCTTACAGATATTGTCGCTTCTGAAGGTGATAAAGTGGTACTTGAATGTAGTATTTTAGGAGATCCTAAACCTAATGTTAAATGGTACTTGGACAATCAGGAATTGTCTGATGCTACATTAAAAGAGGTAAGTATTGAGGTGTACATTTTACTTCTTAAAATAGTTTGAATTTGAGAATTGAAGGGTATGAGTGGTCATAACGAGCCTGAGTGTTCATGTATTTCCACCAAAATAGGCTGGAAAAGAGCATTTCTTTTACTAAAATAGGCCTGCAAAGAGGTATTTATTCTGTATAAAATAGGGAGTTTAAAATGATAAATGCGTGTACAAAATGAAATGAGTGAAAAAATAATTGCATTATAATTTAAATCATTCTAATTTTTATTAAAACTCTGAAATGTACATAAAAAAATTGAATTGAATTTTGATGGAAATTTTATCTTCTTTGTAATCATGATTTTACATGATCACTAAATATTCAATTGTCTGTTGGATTATTATTATTATTATTATTATTATTATTATTATTATTATTATTATTATTATTATTATTATTCACTATTGAAAATTATCCTTAAAAACGCACAAAATTTCGATATGAAGGCTGTCATCTATTATTACTTCTAATACTGTCTACATAGAGTGCTAGTGTGGAGTGGACTATTCTCTTTTGAAACCCCGAACGGCGTAATTGAATACACTGCTGTTGTTTTCATTTTTCTAACCCGTGTAATCGCCAGGCCTGAGTCAAGACCTATTGTGTCAGGTCATGTAAAGTAAACCGAAAATTCAAATATGTTTTTGAAACTCGAAGGGTCTCGAGTTCGTACAGATCGATCGGGGAATATGACGTTTTTGTAGAAAATCGCTGAACTATTTGTGCTAGCATTGCCCATAGGACGGGCAGACTCACATTTTGCCTTTAACTAATTTTTCGGTATCAAGGACTTACGAAATGTGAATCTGTATCGTTACGACGTAAGTACGTAGTAAGATGAGAACTTGAAAAATTGAAATTATCAGAAATCATTATTATTATCAATCACAGAACTGTGATTCCTCTTTTTAAAAATATTCAAATCCTAACAATAAGAAAATAGTTTTCCTAATTACTGAGGTCTATTTTTTCTCTTAGTACAACAACTTATTGGCACTAAGAGAACAGAACATGAAAAATGTGATATATAATCACAATTGAATTAGGACTGTGTTGTGACTAGTCAGTGTCTCTCTTCTGGCCATCTTAAAAGGGAGATTAACATGCAAATTATGAAAATTGACATTGTTGCATGGAGAAATATTTCTAACCTTTCCATAAATACCCGGCGTAATCCGAAATAATGTGAATGGTTACATTTTGTTGATTGAGGATTACCACGAAAAAATGACACTTTAGAAGATCCCTCTTTTACATCATGCATCTTGATTGTGATAGTTTCCCATTGCTTCGAACGACTAACACTATTCTTTACATCATTTTACGTTTTGTATTTTATTTTTATTTTACGTCTCAAACAGCGTTTTGTGTGCTGTTTCTTAGCTTATTTCAAGATATTTAATTTAATCTAGTTTAAATAGTTCATTTCTAGTTTTCTTTGAGTTGTGACATTGACTTTTTTATAACTGATTGCAATATTCTATATCTTTGGGGTTAAATTTATTAGTTGTGTATTTTTAGACTAATTTTAGTTATGGTAATTTAAAGCATTTTATATAATTTAGTTGTGATTGTCGTCCTTTGCTTTATTATTTACGCATTCACCTTTACCTGTTTGTTTCCTTTGATTCATACAATTTTGTACTTCTGTCTACGTCAGGTAAACACGAGCTAATTAATAATAAATGTTGTTGCTTAAAGTACTCATAGTATTAAAATCCTTCCACTATTAGGTATTTGCGTTTAAAAGTTTGTTAACAATGATCTCCCGATTGAATGATAGTGTCTCACTCTCTTTTTAGCTCGTGACCTTGAAAGGACTTTCTATTTTAATCGAAGCATATTTCTTGTGGAAGCAATCCGGGAATCCGGGCGGTCCGTTTCGCTACCGGGCTGAGTCGGGCCACGCCGGCCATTGGGAATGGGGGGGGGGGGTAATTGAAAGCCATGTGAAAGATTTGGGTTGGTGCTGAGCCGAGCCGCACCGTGCGGCCACCAGCTTCAACTTGGTTCCCTGCTGAACTGTATCAAGACAACTGTGTTTGTATTCGTTGTATTATAATTTGGCTGCTCTGGCCGGAAATTAGTTCAAGCGATATTTTACAAATTCAGTCCTCATTTTTACGAGTCACGAACCGTATCTATGATAATTAAATCAGATTTGAAAGCTACTTTTTTTACAGTTATGACACTTTTACTGTATATTACTACGAGAAACTAATTTTCCGCCAAAATATAGTAGTTGTGTTGGAGATGGTGGTGATGGTGGTTCTGTCTAATGTCCAGGTTATGGAAATATGTTGACTCACCTCCAGTATTAGCTGTATTTTTGAGAATTTTCTAATTTGGCACCACATGGGTCTTCAACGTGATCCACTACATTTGTACTTGATATTCGCCGCCGGGATGTGTTTAGCGTAGAATGGTTCTCTTGTATGCCACAAGCATGACATGAGACACTGAGGATTCCCGGGGTTAACAAGTTCACTGCTCTTAGTTGGATTTTATCCCGAACTCTTTTGTGGAATCCAGTGAGCCCCATGCTACAGAGACTGCCCTTTCCACCAAACAGTGTATTCTTAATTTTCCCCATTCTCTTCAATTTACCAAATAATATTTTACCTTGAATAAAGTTGTATTTTGAAAAGTGTGTAACCTTATGGATTTTCACGATCTGTTTCAAAATATACTTCCTGTATTGTATACAGAACTAAATCATACATACCTACTTCCTTTTCAATTAAATATTGTGCAGTTTGTACTCATTCCTGACATTAAAGTTGAAAGGAACCAGGTCTTGTATTCTCGTAAACGATAGCTGTTCATTGTTACTATTGTAATATAAGTTAAGTTTTCAAGCACTATGTTTCTTGCTCATTTTATTGAAATAAAAATTTATTTGAAGATGTACATGTATGTCAAACACCGTATATGTTATGGAATTAATTAACATTTTCTTGCATGAAGAATATCCTTCGAAGTGTTTATTAATGTAAACATTATTTGAATGCTTGCACTACTTTGCAAATTCTCCCTTTGCCTTTTCAGTATAAGGAAGATGGAGATGGAAATGTGAGCCTAACACTCCTTCGTGTGGAATCACAAGATAAAGGAGTTTACACAATAAAAGCCTCTAATGCATTTGGAGAAGCAGAAAGTGTAGCAAAACTCACTGTAAATCCCTTGCCATCACAGGAAACGCATGTGCCTGTTCAATTGGAAGAAAAGAGCATAGCACCATCTTTCAAAGAATTATTTGCAGATAGAACGATTCCTGAAAATACAAGTACTAAATTTGAATGCGTGGTGACAGGAAAACCCACACCAAAGGTAAAACATGTTTGTTTCAAATAGCTGATAAATGAGATAAAAATTGTTGTTTTAGTTTTTAATATTTATACTTTTATATGTTATGACAATTTGAAAAAGAAGTCAACTATTTTCTACTACATTATTGTTTTTATAGTGTTTGGTGCATTTACGTTATAAAACTAAAAGACTACTATTTGTCCTGTGTAGCGTCACGGCTTGGCAGCAGCAAGCCGAGTGCAAGGTAGAGGGCTGGGGGATCTAAAGATAGAACAAAGAAGGGACTTTCCGACAGGAAATGGTCCGCGGGCCAGGCAGCGCCAGGGAAAGGCTTTCCACCGCGCGGGGGTGGGGAGTAGTGACGTAGGAGGTCAGGTGACCTGGACCTATAAAGACGCCGCGGCGAGACGGCGCGGACGGGTAACGTTTCTGGTTTCCTCGTGGCTAGACCACAAAAACGTTGTCCGCCCAGGCTGGTGCCGTGGGTACGTGGGTGTTGGACGAGTTCGGACAGGGTGATGTGTTCTTCAAACACATTCGGGCAGATCGTCAATCTGCCGGGGCACACCAGGTGCCAATTTGCGACGCGGCCTTGCCGGCTGGTCGTAGGCGTCGCTACAGGGCGCATGTAGGGAGAGGAGGGCTGCAGTGGTAGCTCTGGCAAACCGCCATAGAGTGAGAGTTGTAAATATGTACAGTGTGTAAATAAAACTTGTATATACTCACTCGTGTCTGTTTCCTTGTGGTGTAGATCACTACACCCGACGTTACACCTGATCGATGTAGCATATGAAATATTTATTATACCTTTTTTGTTTACTTTTGTGCTATGAGTTAAGGAGGAATAATAATGTTATAAGTTAATGGGAAATATATTGAGAGTAGATCATAAAAAACAAATCAAAAACTTCAACGTTTCGGCTTTTGTTAACACTTCCACATGGCTATAACATAAACAATGTTCGGTTTATGTAGCAACCAAATTTTACTTAACAATATAATATTAATATAATTTTGTAGTTTGAATGGAATAACTTACCCCTTTAATTATATTGGCTTCCTTTTAGCAACAGCCATCCTCCTCGCCCTCGTATGTGTACACTACACAGTACGCCCTTTTTAATTTTTTTATTGCCGGCGAAAAAATTAGATGGATGAATGGCGGTGCGTAAATCTTACGATTGTTCCTCATTTTACTAAATTTTTAGGGAAGCACCGGACATTCACTAGCATGGCACTTTGTTAGTAATATTACAATCGTGAAAATGTCTGCGTTACGTATTGCTGTATTTTATAAGCGATAATTAAAAAATGCTAATTTTAATTATTAATGAAATTTTGCATTCTTGGAATGCTTTTTTGTTTTGAAACTCAAAACAACCTACTTACTCTGTACATTTAGCAGAATTAGTGAGGTTAATGGTTTTGCGTCACATTTTCGAATTGGTGCACTATTCCTTGAAATAAATGGGTCTGAAAAGTGTGACGCCAAACTATTTGTTTACTACCCACCTTCCTTCCTACGCACCTTCCTTTCTACCCTCCTTCACTCCTTCCTTTCTTGCTTTCTTCTTTTTCTTCTTACATAAATTCATTAAAAATGTATAAATTCACGAATTCTTTAAATGTACTGTGACGATATGCAAGCTCTGAGAACGAAGACGTGTTGATTTCGCGACGATCCAAGGCAGGAAAATTGATCCGTTAGGGGCATCGGGGATCCGCGGCACAGCACAAGGGTGCCAGCGGAGGCGGCATGTACTTTAGTTCAAGTGTGGGCGGTTTTGTGGCCGTGAAAAGGAGAGAGGAACTCGGCCCGGTGTAGAACCGCCCACCCTCACGGGAAGCAGAGGAGGATGTTTCTGCACACCAACCCACGGAAAGGTCACTTAAGGACTGCCGCCTCGTTTTCTTGTCAACCACCCCACCCAATGCGTCCGGTGTCGCCGGTCAAAACGTGTCATTCACCCAAAAAGAAAGACTTCAATAAGTGCAGCTTCCGACCGCTGACGAATTGGGTAGGGGATGGGGGAGCCCGGTACCGCGCAGCTGTGTGCAGTTAAGCCGATCGACTAAAACAAAATGAGATACAAAGGCCCTCCGTGCGCTCCGCGAGTAACTGAAAACACCCCGGAGGAGAGTGCTTCTGTGTCGCACTCCTTTGATCGCAAGAAAGAAAGGGTGCACCCTTTCGACGCGCGGGCTGCATGTAATGCTGAGCAATCAGATACTAGGAGGCGCTTGGAAAGAGGCTTCGTTATTTGAGGGTCAGGGCCGCTAAGGCAGTTTGAGCCTGAGATGTGATCGAGATCGAGACAGAGGGAGACTGAGATGTGATCGAGACAGATGGAGTTTGAGATGTAATGGAGATGGAATCCGAGATGTGATCGATATCGAGACAGAGGGAGTCGTGATCGAGATAGGGTCGAAGAGGTGATCGAGATCGAGTTAGAGACGCACTAGGAGAGCGCTTTGAGAGTACAGATTAATGACCGAAACGCTTCGAGTTCGTACATTTACGTGAAGGCTCAGATGACAAATTTACTTGAACTTCGAAAATGATCTCGGCATAGAGTGAACATGGATTAAGGCTTTGTTTCCTTGAGAGCCTCTAAATTATCACTACGTTTGTGAGTGTCTTTGCCATCCTTACATGGTAGTCACGGTAGGCTTCGATAGCCGCATTGCCTTCGCCGGTGTCCGGGACAGCGTCGCCATCGAGGACAAGAGGGTGCGTGGGTACGTGCGTAGCCGAGGGGTCCGGTCGTCAGCGGGAGGGCGGAGGTGCCACCTGCTGGAAACGCCGGGGAGCCGACGCGCGCCATCTGGCGGGCGGTAACAATCAGTGGTCAGCCACCCTTACCTGCGACGTTTTCACGGCCGTGCCGTTATTCGACAAAGCAGTAAGGACATAATCGGTGTTATTAGTGGTCACCGCCCGCCATTTTCCCGCCAAGAACGCGGGCGAGACTATTAATGAATGAGTGTAGTTTCAATGTGGCGGCAAGTCATTGTTGTGGCAGGAATAGAACCTGTCTATTTAGACCCAAACAAAAATAATGTAAATTCTACGTAAACTATTATTCATGTGCATGCTCATATTCATCCTCTTCTCATAATCATTTTAATTGTTCATTAAATGTGTTATAAGAGTATATGTTTTCTTGTCCTTGCAATCCCGCATCCAGATCATTCCTACGGGTTACAATACATTCTTTCTCCATCCCTGCTAACACTGGCTCTCTGTATTTGTATGTGTATGTCGATTTAAATGAATGCATGTGCAGTGAATGTATAGATACGTACTCTACCCCTTCCTTCTCCGGTAGCTCAAACAAGGTGGGGGACGGTTTTCTCAACTACTGAAAATTCAAAGTACATTTTGGAAATATTTGTAGTATTGTGGAATAAATTGTTTAATATTTGTTGTGAAGATACATCGGTTTTAAGATGGCTTAACATTAAAATGGTAATATATTGACCAATATGGTGGTAATAGGGGCTCAATTGCAACGTCTCTGATCGGTCCTAAATGAAAATATTAAATATGAGTGATACATCCAAAATTGATGGTACTAATTTAAATTTTCACATGGCAGAAAGAAAAAGACAGAATGTATAATTTAAAATAACCAATTTATTTCTAGTATCAAATCGCTACATGCTGGGGTATCAATTCTGTCGTAGTTTGCAATAAGTGTTCTACAATTGAGTAAAATAAATATTTACAACTGAATGAAAGAAAATACTTGGTTTCAGGTGGAATGGTCCATCAATAATGAACCAATCTCAAGTGAAGATGCCTTGATCTCTACAGAAGGTGAACAACAAGTGCTTACAATTCATAATGTCAGAAAAATTCACTCTGGGAATGTTGCATGTGTGGCAGAAAATGATGCTGGGAAAGCAACATGCACAGCACGACTTAATGTTGTAGGTAAGCGTATATTATATGCAAAAAATTGTGTGATAGAAAAAAAGAGGTAAAGTAGAAAAAGTTGAGTTTGCAACACACAATGAATCTACAAACTATTTTAAAAATTCCGTTTTCAAGTCCTTCATTTTCCTCAACGTCTCTAGCATATTTTAAACCATTTATAAAATTTATTTTTTAAACTATTTATAAAAATTAACAAGACAATAAATACCTATGTGGAATGCAATGTCTTTACCGCAATATATGATGAAATATTAATAGAAATTTAAAATTTTCAATGATAAGATAAGGTGAGTCTGAATTTCCGTTTTTCATCATCATCATCAGCAGCAGCAACAAGGTTTGGGCCTAGTGGCCCGTTCCGCTCTCAAGAGTCT